CTCTCTCTCTCTCTCTCTCTCTCTCTCTCTCTCTCTCTCTCTCTCTCTCTCTCTCTCTCACACACACACACACACACACACACCCACACACACACACATACACACACACACACACACACACACACACACACATTCATAGAGAAACAAAGCTAACTTGTAAACATTCATAATCAGGGCGCGTTGTGTTCGGAGGAAAAAAGACAGTAGTTAGCGATGAGAGGGAGGAAAACGCCATGTAGCTGAACGGAGCACCCATCCCTGTTCACCGACGGGCTAAGCCCCCAGACCTAGCCCCAGTTATGAAGACCATGACTATTCTCGATTTGCCTTCAAACCGACCAGCTCAAAACAAACATATTATACAAACCAAGCCCCGCCACCTCCTTCTCCAGGCCTCTTTCTCCAGGCGTCCTTCTGCTCTAAACCTCTTCCATCCGAAGAGTGTGCTAATGACGATGCTTAGATGTTATATGTGGATTTACAGTAACTAACGAAGATTGCTATCGAAAACCCTCTCTATTATGAACTGCTGTCCGCCACGGAGACCGCAAAATGAAAGCTGACGGTTCCCCGTCTCCAACATCCGCCGACGTACAGGATTGAATACGAAATTGAATCGACGTACAGGATTGCATACGAAATAGAATCGTTCCAACTCACACAATAACATATTCATTTCATGCTTTCATAGCCTTAAGCTTCATCGCACGCTCTGAGAAGTGTGTGCTGAACATTGACGTCAACACTCCAGTCTGGCTGGAGATCGCGAGACGAATCAGCTTCAGAATCTGTTGCAGAGTTCACAAAGGCAAAAGCGAGACAAAGACCGTGACAAGTCAGCGAGCATTTCAAAACTGCAGAAAAAACAGAGCAAAAAGGATCACGCAGAAACACTCTCTCTCTATGGACCCTAACACATGTTTCGCCTTCTCCACATGCTCTTCAACACTACCATCGTCTTTCCCCACACACAAATGTGCACAAATTAGCATTTCCAGACGGATACAAACATGATAAGGGCTTGTTATGTACGGAGGAAGAGAGTAGGGTAGGTATGAAGAAGAACGAAATTGCGAGGGGGTTTGAGAACAAATTCCAAATGGACTAGCAATTGCAACAGATGGACAGTCGGGGCATCGTCGAAGAGCAGAGCGAGAAGAATGATCAGCATGAGTTAATCACGTCCCAGTGGTACCACCAACAACGATTTCGTCAAAACGGACATTTTATATTTTTTGAACGAAATTGAAATTGTCATTTTTGAGTTGATTTAGGTGCAAAAACCATTACAAAGAGATGTTTGGTGTGTGGGGTACGGGGTAAGGTGTAAGGTGTAAGATGTAAGGTGTAAGGTGTAAGGTGTAAGGGGTGAGGGGTAAGGGGTAAGGTGTAAGGGGTAAGGTGTGAGGGGCAAGGTGTGAAGTGAACGGGGTAAGGGGCAAGGGGTGAGGTGTAAGGGAAATGTGGGAAATCGCAAGGGTCAAGTGGCACAGCGTATGGAGTAATACTTGGCACCTTATATACATTGTTTTTGTCACAAACCATCTTGTGGCATCCGCCCCCCCTCCAAATCATATTACGGATTATCATATACACACTACTCACGAGCCACTATGTCCAAAGCCATTCGACGACGTATCGCGGGTATATCATCAGCAGCGAAAAAGAAAGGTGGAAGTTGGCCCCGTGCCAACAGTGATGCGTACGTTAGCACAAAGACCCCGCACTCGTTCGTGTCGTGTTGCTTCGGAATGCCCTCTACATTCCATATGTGATTGAATGGTTTCGTGTCCACCTCTTTGACTTGTGATTTCGATCTTTCGAATATAAACTTTGCAAACCCGCCGGTCATCTTTCTCGCCAACTCCATGTCGGGGTCGAGGGAGTCATAAAATTCGAATTTCCTCCTCCTGAAGTCAGCCACGACAAGGGTCTAGTGGTTCTTGTGTTCGATATGGAAAGGAGCAATAATCAAGTCCATGTCACTTATAATAACGTCCGGACACCATCGCTCTACCTCTCGACCTCTATATCTCATTTCATTGTCGGAAAGTTTGACGAACAAAAATGAGCTCAGCACCGATACTCTAGGAATGCGACCCTTTCCTTCTCTACTAACGATCTTATTCTCCGCGTCGCATTCTACGTGTTGAATTCTACACCAGTTGTCCAATGCTATGAGATTGAGGTAAAAGTTGATGACATTGTCGTTTAACCACTGACGTTCTACACCGAGTAAAAGGAAATCGTTGCGAGTGAGTTGCAACACCTCGTTCATGTATACGTCGTGTGTGGTGGCTATGGGATACCTCTTCCCGTATTCACGGATGATACGCGTCAAGGCTGTCGTCTCCCTCTTTGATAAAGACGACGTTGCGAGATGCATTGTCCATCCTCTTTTGCACAATCTTGTATCAGTTGTTGTCATTTGCACTGCACACCACAAACATGAGGAAGACGACATTCACGCGGGCAGATGGGGAAAGGATGGTGAGTGCATGGCCAAATGCTTTGTGGGAGTTAATGCATGCAACGCATGTTTTCAATGTTTCTCTAATCTTTTACTTGCATTTACGACATTCACGTATACAATCAATCATTTATTCCTTACACCTTGGTCACCCTCATTGCATACGTCCGCATACACACATCCAAGTCGGAACGAGAGAGAGAGAGAGAGAGAGAGAGAGAGAGAGAGAGAGAGAGAGAGAGAGAGAGAGAGAGAGAGAGAG